TGAAAGTCACTAAATTTAAATGGTAGCATTTAGCTTTCACTGAGTTGATGTCTTACTGTAGATCTAGTTAAGAAGTTCTCTGGATCTCAGTGCAACAATGTGAGTTACAAGCAGTATTTGTTGATTGCATATATGAGAACATAAATGGTATTTAGAAATAGTATAAATAGGAGGATAGTTTGTGCTAGAATAACTATTATAACATCTATTATAGTAGTGATGGAAAATTTCCATCTCTCTTATTAATTCAAGGATATTAAAGATCATATCTAGTAGATCAAACATGATGTTATAAGCAGGTTCAGAAGTAATTTGTTCAATTATTTTTGAAGTTATTTTGATAAATGCTGGTCTCAGGGAATTGTTTTAAGCTCTAAAACTGTGATTTCTTTATAGATATTAAACTGAGAAAGCTTTCAGGACAAAAATAATTAAGGACAATTGGAGTTTTTCCATCATATTTTAGAAAGAAACTAATTATGTATCAGTAATATAAACTCTTTCAAATTGCACATTATCTATTTGCCAGAATGGTCCAGAACTTAAAACGTCTATCAAATACCATTTCTGATGGTATCCCAGAATGTGTTAAGAGAGGTAAAGAAACTACGTGTGTGTGAGCTTTTTAAAATATCATGAAAAGCTTTTCATTTTGAAACTTTATTTGGAAAAGATGAGTATGAATATGTGATCTGATTGTATTTGTATGACACTTCAATATGCATTGCATCTCAAAAGGACAAGAATGATCCCCCCCCCCCCCCCCCCCCCCGCCGGGAACGCCGGGAACGGTTGATAACTAGTTACGTTTCACAAAATGTACATTGATAACTAGTTACATTTCACAAAATGTCTAGCGGCAAGTGGAAAGCAAAACTGAAAAGGAAAACCAAAAGATCTCCATAGTCCTTTGGTTTGGTCCTTCTGCAAGGAACATTTTTGGGCAGGAGGGCCCCCTCCTCAGGGTAATTTTTTCTCTGAACCCCGAGACCTCCTCTACCAGTCATTGTGTTTTTGTTCACCTGTTGGGCCTCCGTGCCTCCCTTCACCTATTCCCTTTCAGGGTCATTTTGTTTTGTTCTTCTCCACCACCTTTGTCTTGAACACCAGATACGCTTCACTGTATCATACACCTGAATCTAATATAACACTGTCCGTTAACAATACTGGAATTAAGATAAAAAAACTTCATTAAAAATATGTATATAAAAGAAAGAACAACAGATATTCTGGGAATCATCAATTCCTTCTGTGCTATAAAACTTATAGTTTTAACATTTCACAACCTGGATATTTGCCTTCCTATGACTTAATTTTAGGGGAGGTTTTTACAGTTTAAAATTAGAGTTACTATTAATATTAGTATGTTTTTGATTTGGTATCAGGAATCATTATTCAATTCTGGGCTGCGTTTCCTGGGGCTCCCTCCCTTCCCTGAAGATCCTTTACTAAGGGTCATTTACAGCACCCGTGTTTCAGGAAGAACAACAAATTTGGCTTTGCTCCTTGTCCCTAATCAGATTGCTAACTCAACTCAATCTTTATCTCCCATCCCCTTTCCTCTCCATTGGTGTTTTATTATTTTTCCAACTCAGAGGAGCCAGACTCCTAGATTAGGTATTTCTTGAATTTACATATTGTAATCTCATCTGCTCGTTTCCTTAGGCAGTCATTGTACATTGGTAATTCTCTTATTATAAATCATTATCTATGAAACCATTTTGTTTTCCCACAGGACTGTCTGGAACCCCTGCTGGCCTATCCTTAAAGAGTTACTCTGAAGTACATCTGTACTTACTCAAAACATTTCAAAGGAGTAGATGTGTATTTCTTTACCTAGGCAAATCAAAGTTTCTGTTTTTATTTATTTTATTTATTTATTTATTTATTTTGGTAAACAATATAATTACATTTTATTTTTTTATTTTTTTTAACTTTTCTTTCTTTTTTTCTTCAATATATGAAATTTAAAGTTTCTGTTTTCATTTATTTTTTTAATTTTATTTATTTATTTATTTTTTGGGTAAACAATATAATTACATTTTTTTAATTTTTTTTAACTTTTCTTTCTTTTTTTCTTCAATATATGAAATTTAAAGTTTCTGTTTTTAACACTGTACTTTGAATGCCTTCAAATTGCAGAGCTGTCAAAAGATTTTTATTGATGTGTCTTTCTTTTTTTTCATTTGTATATCTCTCTATATACACATCTATAGAAGTAACGTTCATGCTGTTTCATGTGGATACGGAATAAAGAAGAAAAGGAATGGTTTTGTAAAATAATCAACATACCGGTGCCTAAATGTTCATTTGATAAATGACTATGGTCTAACATTTTACCTGTCCTAAACACAGCTGTTTTCCCATCTTGCTCTTTTGGGACTTTTTGCTTCTTGGAGAGACACACACACACACACAAATCAAACTTGTACCTGGCCAGTGAAAATGGATTTTACAAAGTCTGTTCTAACGATAGTTTCAAGAATCTTAAAGCAAGAGGAGATGGTAAATATCCTTGAATGAGACCTGTTACTTCCTGATGATGCAGGCTCCAGTTCTATCCGTAAAGGAATTAGAGGCAGAGCGGGAAGAGAACGCAGGTCTCCCACACTCTGTTCAGTACACCATGTTGAGTGAGGCAGCCCCGTGAGCCTTCCCTTGGCCTACATTTAACAACATTTGATACTCTGGGTTCTAAACCCTCAACACGTTAGAATTACCATATTGGATGTGAGAGGAAGGGAAGAAGTTGTGCCGTCAAATCTGCTGTAACTGTCAGACAGGAGATGACAGTAAATAATGAGGTCAGAGCCCAGTCACCAAAACCCAAATCCAGCAGGCTGAGGCCACTAGGAGAAGGGTAAAGAGAGAGCCTTATATGTATCTCAGAAGTCCTAGAATTTACCACTGCATTATAGAACAGTAAAGTACTAGTTTTAGTGGGGAAAAAAATCATTAAGAAATGGATAAATTATGTTCACCATAGGTGATCTGGAAAAGCAGAGAAATGCCTCTGAAGTTTGGAAAGACAGGCAAAATGAATAAAATTCAATTCAACAGTTTTCTAAACGGGTACAAGTATTACCAGTTTTGTTTCCTACTTTTAAAAACGTCAGTGGATATTAACCAGACAAGAATGTGGTGGCTTTGTTTCTTGCTTGAAATTTTCTGTATTAAAAAAAAAAAAAAAGAACAAAAGAAAAAAATAATTACAAGCCTTTTACTGAAGGCATTTTAAAAGAGCTTTTAATGAGCACTGTTGGAGAATTAGAAACAATCAAATATTGCTTATAGGAATAATTCAGCTAGCTACAAAAATAGTTCATAAAGAATTCTCATGCCAGTTATAATGTCTATCATCAAAAAGATAGGAGATAACAATTGCTGGTGAGGATGTGGAGAAAAAAAAACCCCTCCGTGTACTAGTGATGAGATTGCAAATTGGTGCAGACACTGTGGAAAGCAACAGTATGGAGTATCCTCAAAAGATTCTAGACAGAACTACCTTGGGGCGCCTGGTTCGCTCAGCCAATGGAGTGTCCGACTCCGGGTTGTGGCTCAGGTCATGATCAAGCCCTGAGTTGGGCTCTGAGCTGAGTGTGGAGCCTGCTTAAGATCCTCTCTCTCTTTCCCTCTGCCCCTCTCTTCTGCTCATGCTCCCTGGCTCTCTCTCGCTCTCTCTCTCTCTCTAAAAAGAAAAAAAAACTACCAGATGATCCAGAAATTCCACTTCTGGGATTATATCTGAAGGAAATCAAAATAGAATGTTGTGGAGATATCTGCACCCCCATGTTATAGCATGTTTATTATTTATAATAGCTGAGGCATTGAAATAACTTAAGCTTCCATCGACAGATGAATGGATAAAGAAGTTGTGATACACATACACACACCCAGGAATATTATTCAGCAATAAAAAAGAAGGAAATCCTACCATTTGTAACAACATAATATGCATTGAGAGTATTATGCAAAGTGAAATGAATCTGATAGAGAAAGACAAATACTATACGATCTCACTGATATGTAGAATCTTAAAACAAAACAAAACAACAAACTCACAGGAAAAAAGATCAGATGTGAGTGGCAGAGGCCAGGGATATGGGGTGAAGTAATTGGATGAAGGTGGTCAAAAGGTACAGACTTTCAGTTATAAGATGATTAAGTACTGGGATATCACATACAATATGAGGAATGTAGCTGACACTGATATATGATATTATATGATATTATATGATATATGAGAGTTATTAAGAGAGTAAATCCCAAGAGTTCTCACCACAAGGAAATAATTTTGTTTTTCCTGTTTTTTTCTATCTATATGAGCCGATGGATGCTACCTAAACTCATTATGGCAATCATTTCACAATGCATATGAGTCAAGTCATTATGCTATACACCTTAAACATAAAAACACTTCTATTTGGGGGCAAAATATGTATGATTATAGGACTATGTGCTTTAACTTTTTTACAACCTATGAACATTTCATGCGCATTTCACTGAGTATGATCAAAGGGTCACAATTATTGGGATATTTGATTAAACATACCAAGCGCAAATTGTCTGCCTCGAGTAATTTTATCTGAATAGTCTGGGTTAGCTTACTGGTCAAATTAACTGGATACTTGCCAAATTTATGCCATTTAGAGATAGACGCTCTGCGAGAGGAGTAATATTTTAGCATTAATTTTAATAAGTAGGTAGTTGCTGACTTTTCTAAAGATATTTAAAAACTGTTGACTTTGTGCCTAGATAGTATAAAAAAACATCCCTTTCTTTGCTGTAACCTATCCCACCTTACAGATAGTCATTAAAATAAAAAAAAATGAAAGAGTATAAAAATCTTGGAAAATTTTCCGTGTGTGTGTGTGTGTGTGTGTGTGTGTGTGTGTGTACACTTTTCTATTTTGAACAGATTTGATTTCTGTTCTGCATTCCATATCAACAGGAGTGTTGGAGTCCCTGTCACCAATGCTTTCCTTTTTGTTTGTTTGCAGTCACCTGGGCAGCCTCGTCACAGTTCTCTCCAGGCAGCATATGCGGTGGCTGTGGGACATCAGCGGACGGAAGCCATTTTGGATAGGCAAGTGTCTGCGCTGAGGAGGGAGGCAGGAACATGAAGGAGGCATCTCCTTCCCATGGGCCAAATAATTGTGGTTTGCAGTAACAGGCAACAGTTCCATGATTGGACAGTCTATTTTTTCTTTTTTGGAGGGGGCACCCAGTGGATGGTCTGCCTTTTAAAACTCATTTTAGTGACACAATGCTTTCATTTTTGGAGATCTATCTCAAAGAAATAATAAGGGATGTGGCTTGGATTATAGGTAAGACAATTCAACAAATGGTATTTCTAAAAGTAACGGGGCGCCTGGGTGGCGCAGTCGGTTAAGCGTCCGACTTCAGCCAGGTCACAATCTCGCGGTCCGTGAGTTCGAGCCCCGCGTCGGGCTCTGGGCTGATGGCTCCGAGCCTGGAGCCTGTTTCCGATTCTGTGTCTCCCTCTCTCTCTGCCCCTCCCCCGTTCATGCTCTGTCTCTCTCTGTCCCAAAAAAAATAAATAAATAAACGTTGAAAAAAAATTAAAAAAAAAATAAAAGTAAAAAATTAGAAGCACTTGTCAATAGGGGATGGTTAAATAAATTATAGTATAGCCACAAGAAGGAGTATTTAATATTTAATGCTTTTGTAAGGCATAAAATATTAAAGACATAACAAAGTGCTTTATGTTTATTATTTCATTCAAGAAATACCACATTGGAAGCATATTATATATAAAATACATAACGTATTGCATTTGTGGCAGGTGCTAAGTAAAAAAGCAGAGTCCACAGCGATATGAAGCAGAAAATAATTATGAGAAAAAATTTATATACATGTGATATATATATATATGCATATGGTATATACATACGCATATATAAAGAAATACGTTAAAGAATTAGAAATGTTTGCAGCTATTGACAAGTATAGGCGATCTTAATTTTATCCCTTGTTTTCTGAAGTTTTAACATCTTCAATTTTAACAAGAATACAAATCTCTTCAGATTCTATTTTTAGAAGTAGAATTCTCAGGGCGCTTCAAAGTCAGTATTTCCACCGTCTGACCTTGAAGGTATTGGATTTCAGGGAACGGTACTAAACCCAATCTTGGCTTCTCCGAATCTCTGTAATACTTAGTACATCTCGAAATTCTGAAATTTTCTGAGTGTATGAAGTCGAAGCTAGAGGAGACATTTTCTTCACTTCCACAATGACTGATTTCAAGGCTCTGTTCCCACAGAATACTTAGGCATAGCATCTTCTGATCAAAGATGCAAGGAAACAATCCGGAAGGAGATAGTTCATTTTATTCTACCCCAAAATATTGAGGGAGGCTCACTCAGGAGGTTATAGGTTATGCAGCTAAGACTATTTTCATGGTTAAATTTGGTCGGGAGATGTCAGATCGTGCTGTTACAGGGGATTCTTTTCTGATTTTATTCTCTTTATTTCTATTATGAAGGAGAGCGAGGAGGAGGAATGTTTCTTTAAGAAAAATTACAAAAGCTTTGCAACACTGAAGTGTAATTTGTAAAATTGCCAGTGGGAGTAGAGAGGCAAGTTGAGAAAAGCTGCTTTTTGTTGGAATTATAGCCGACTGAAAAAAAATCTTACGTTCCAGACTAAAAATAATATCTAGTTAAGCTACTTTCGAATATGAAAACCAAGAGATTTAAATAGCAAAGAAGAAGAACTATAGACAAGAGTGTAACCTGTTTCCCTGGGATAGGAGTTCTGCCTGTGGAATAATACGAATAATAATTGCCATTTATTAGACATGCATGCGTGCTGTGAAACGTACATGCATTATCTTATTTCATACTGAAAATGGCCCTCGATATACTATTTTTATTCCCATTTCTTTTTTTTTTTTTTTTTTTTTTTTTTTTTTTTTTTTTTTTTTTTTTTTTTTTTTCAATGTTTATTTATTTTTGGGACAGAGAGAGACAGAGCATGAACGGGGGAGGGGCAGAGAGAGAGGGAGACACAGAATCGGAAACAGGCTCCAGGCTCCGAGCCATCAGCCCAGAGCCTGACGCGGGGCTCGAACTCACGGACCGCGAGATCGTGACCTGGCCGAAGTCGGACGCTTAACCGACTGCGCCACCCAGGCGCCCCTTTATTCCCATTTCTTAGATGAGGAAACTAAAACTCAAAGTGGTTAAGCGACCTGCCCGAAGATGCTCAACTAGCGAGGATTTGGATTCGGATCGGCCAAATGTTCTCACCTGTGTCTTAGGATTCCCAGATCCTATTCTGTGTTTCAGAACGTAGGCTCATGTTTGTACATGATTGCTGAGATTAGAGCAAGAGACTGACGTGATACCCAAGCATAAATGTAATAAAATAATTTGGCACATTCTTTGGTTCACATCAGGTTTGAATGACCAAGTGCATGCTGGCCACTGGGAGTGGATTGGTGGTGAACCTGTCGTCTTCACCAACTGGAGGAAAGGCCCCCCTCAACGTTCAAAGCCTGGGAAGAACTGTGTTTTGGCTCAAAGACAAGGGAAATGGCAAACGCAGGACTGTAGCAAGAGCAGACCTCACAGTTACGTGTGCTCCAGGAAACTCGAAAAGTAACTAGGCTTACAGGTGCCCACTTGGAATTTCTCACCTATTTATTTACAGGATTTGTACATGTTGTTCAATAGAAGACAAGGTGTCATGATTGACTTGGTACGTTTTTTTTTTAATCATAGTTTATGAGTGATTCTATCTGGTAAAAAAGGAACATAGAAGAAGAGTTCCAGGAAGATCGATCAATGAATATTTCTTTAGGGAAGACAGACAATTCTTGGATTTCAATACATTTCAGAATAAATGCCTGAAGTATTATATGGTCCAAGATTTGCTGATTCCAGGAGACTCCCACCCTGACCCCACTCCATATCTGAGTCAGTACCAATTTCATGGTCCTTGGATTTTTTTTAAATCCCAATATCTCAAATGAGCCCATTCCAAAATCTGTATTGCTGGTGCTTCTCCCACTTCAGTCTGAGTAAAAGAAATTCTACCGGTTCCTTAAATCACAGTTGAGGTGCCATCGTTGCTTTGTCCCTTTGGAGGTCTTTCACATGTGAACCCTAAGATAAGAGGCTGTGGATAAAAAGAGTATTGTGCGTGGTGGAAAAGGAAGGCTTTACATGGGCGAATCTCACAGATGGAAACTCATTTGGAGTTTCTCCAAATGGAGAATTCAGAGGCTACCTGTACCCTAGAGGTCTACCTATCACCACTCGTGAGACAGATTGCTTTCTTCAATGAAAATGTTGGCCCTGTACCATTCCAAAGCCAATCATTCCATTTCCCTGGCCTTATAGATTCATGAGAAATCTGAAGCTACACGAACCTCTCTTTTCATTTGTGTGTGTAGTACGCAGTGACATTTGTCAAGGACGTTTGAAATAGAGTATATGTGAATGAGGGTTACAAGTTGGAAGAAAAACGCTGCTTCCTCAGAAGTGTCCCAGTGAACTATGTTGATGAACAAAGAAAAATAGTACTGAAAACAGAGCCCTTGAAAACCTATATTCTCAGGAAGGATTTTGATATAATTTTGAGCCCTGAAGTCTTTAATATTTGTAGAAATGGCACGCTAACTTGATTCGCTAACATAAAGGTACCTTATTAATTTATAATATCAGCAGAACAAAACATTTTTGTACCAGTGAGACATGTTGCAGCCTCAAGAACTCCCATCTGAAATCAAGGTTTAATTACAGGAAATTAGAAATTTACTTCTGAAGCATGCGCTCTAAATTTTCCTCTTTTCATAATCACTGAAAAGAACGGTTGTGCCAAATGTAACTTTCTCTCTGAGCACCGGTGTAATTTCAGCATCAAAATGGGGTTCCCAAGTAGACAAAAGCTTTGGTGCAGGTTTTATTATAATAACATGTTCAGCAAAACTAAAATAAACTGAAGAGATTCAGTCCGGTTTCTGGATATAACGCATGACCAGCTTGTTTTATTTCTGCTCATTTATCAAGATTTTAGTTATTAGAAGTATTTACAAAGAGCAGCTGGGATAAAGTTTAGGCATTAATGGCATCGCGGAATCAGAAGGCTCCTTACCTTAGGTATCACGAGTAGTCTGGACTGATCCAACATCCAGATCTCTTGTATGACACAAGCATTCTCTGGTATTTAACCAAAAGATGCAAAACCCACCCTCCATACCAGCTTCGATCCTTTCTGGTCCACGGGCCTCTGCAGTGTGGGCAGGTGAGATGCCAGTTAAAGAAACGATGAGTTGTTTACCTAAAGAGGTCCATCCGAGGAGGGAAAGTAAAAATTCAAGAAATGGAGAACTCAGGGGCCACTTCTTCCTACTAAAACCCTAGGACTATGTTAACTAGTTAAAACTGGGAATCCAGAACCATGGCTGTTAAGTAGAACCTCATCAGTGTGGTAGATTTTATCATACTTTTCTGAAATGACAATGATATGTAAGTGTAATTGCAAATGTTAGCACAAGGAGAGGGTGTTTTGATTCGTATAGTGGCTAGAAATACGAGAATAATATTTTTAAGCATTCCTACTTGTGAAGGCAGCAATCAGGTTGTAATAGCCAAGTAATTGAAAGAAGATAACAAACAAGCATTCGGACAAGTTGGGGAGCTGGGCAATATTTATCATGAACTTATTCCTTTCTCATATTCCTTTCTCCATTCCCCTTTGACTCAGGGGGGAAAAAGAAGTAAATGATTGTTATCTGAAAAATAGACAGACAGGCAAACACACACACACACACACACACACAGACACACACACACACACATACACACAAGCAAAAAAAGGAGCGGGGGGCACCTAACTGGCTCAGTCGATGGAATGTGCAACACTTCATCTTGGTGTTGTGAGTTTGAGCCCCAGGTTGGATGTAGAGACTACTTAAAATCTTAAAAAAAAATTTTTTTAATGTTTATTTAAAAAAAAATTTTTTTTTAAACGTTTATTTTATTTTTGAAACAGAGAGAGACAGAGCATGAACGGGGGAGGGTCAGAAAGAGGGAGACACAGAATCGGAAACAGGCTCCAGGCTCTGAGCGGTCAGCACAGAGCCCGACGCGGGGCTCGAACTCACGGACCACGAGATCATGACCTGAGCCGAAGTCGGCCGCTTAACTGACTGAACCACCCAGGCGCCCCTTTAATGTTTTTTGAGAGAGAGAGAGAGAGAGAGCACGAGTGAGGGAGAGGCAGAGAGAGAGGGAGACACAGAATCTGAAGCAGGCTCCAGGTTCTGAGCTGTCAGCCCAGAGCCCAACACGGGGCTCAAACCCACAAACTGCGAGATCATGACCTGAGCTAAAGTGGATGCTGAATCGACTGAGCCACCCAGGTACCCCAAAAAATAAAAGCTTAAAAAAAAGTAAATTATCGTCATGTTCTCTCCTCCAAGATCGGTCATTGTCACCTGTCAGGTTCTGGTGGGAGCAGGAAGGAAGGAAATGGGGTAATGGTAGAACAGGAAGGGGAGATTATAGGAGAGAGGAGAGAAGGCTTGAGCAGAAGAGATGGGACAGGTGGTAGCTAAGAAGGAGAGCATCAGAAAGAAAGACTTACGTGCCACCCGGCTCTTCTCCCCAGACTCGAGTACCTTAGGAAAAGTCCCCTCTATCCAAGAGCATCAACCCAGCTAAACAGTGTGTAGCTTTTCAGTATCCTGTGATCTTTGCTTTTTAACCAAAGCATATATATATGCTTTATACATATGCATATACATATGCATATGTATAAGCATACATATAAGCATATATATGTATGGCATATATTTTGCTAAACATAAACTTAAAAACAGATGATAATTATTTCATCTCCTTCCAAGGAATGGTAAAAACGAATCAGGTGACCTTTATTTACATTTCCATTTTTGTATATTTTTAATACAGCCAAAAAGAACACGCACATGTTTTTTCATGAACACTATGGTTCTGTATAATTCAAACCAAGAACTGGTGCTGATTAATTTTTGCAACCAAGCCTCACGTTCAATGTACTGTTTCTAGTGTTGTATCAAAATTAATAAAATGATCTTATTTCTACTTCTGAACCACTGTTGCTTTAATTTTTAACATTTTATATTTATTATTTCTTTAAGTTTATTTATTTTGGGAAAGACAGAGGAAGTGTGAGTAGGGGAGTGGCAGACAAAGGGGGGGAGAGAGAAAAATCCTAAGCAGGCTCTGCATGGTCAGCACAGAGCCCGAGGCTGGGCTCAACTCACAAAACTGAGATCATGACCCGAACTGAAATTCACTCAGACGCTTAACTGACTGAGCCACCCAGGCGCCCCTAACGTTTTGTGTTTACTCTATCCATGGTAAGAAGGGATGGGAAAGAAAACTCAACATGTCTTTTTTATCCTTACTGTTTAAAGCAACCTTTAGTTACATGGCTTTCATCCATCTACTCATCCACCCATCCACTCATCCATCTACCATTTATTCAACAAATATGGAATATTACGTGCCAATCCTACTAGAGATATTATTGTGAATGAGATAGGAAAATAAAAATATAAAAGTATAGTGTATACATGCAAATTTCTTTTTTTTTTAAGCGTGAAATTTTTTATTAGGGAGGACGTCACAGTGAAATCCATTGATTACATTATCCCTTTTCAGAATTGAAGGGAAACACACCCCCATATGGAGAGTTCAGGCTGCCTTTTGTAATATTTCTCTCCTGATTAAGAAATTGGTATTACTTCCTGAGCTTATAATCAGGTCAAAGTGTTACGGAGAGTAGCTGTCCCAAATTTCCTGTCTCCAGATCAAGTTAGGAACTAAAGTTTTCAAATCTAGCCGATTGATCTTTGCAACAAGACAAGCAGTATGTGTCTCTGTGTCTTTAAGTTACTCAGAGGAACAGGATAAAGAGAGAACAATCATATCATCTCACCTAGTATCTTTATTGTAGAGCAGAGAACACTGAAGCCTTCAGAAGTTAAAGTGAGAGGGGCGCCTGGATGGCTTCCTCCGTTGAGCATCTGACTTTGGCTCAGGTCTTGATCTCGTGGTTTGTGTGTTCGAGCCCCGCGTCAGGCTCACTTTGGATCCTCTGTCCCCCTCTCGCGCTCTCTCAAAAATAAATAAAAGCATTATTTTAAAAAAAAGTTGAAGTGGGGAGAGATTAGCACTAGAACTAGAGATTTGCAAATTGTAGGCTGAATCTCTTCTAATTATGCAACCTATTCTAATTATTGCCACTCTGAACAAATGGTTTGCTTAAATTCAAGTACAATACCTTTGAATGATGAGTATTTTTGACATATGCTTGACAACATAACTTTAAGTAAAAGAAGATGGACAGGAAAGGTCTGTGTACTGCGTGATCCATTCATATGAAATGTCCAAAGTAGGCATATTTATAAAGACAGAAAAGGAGCTTCGTGGTTGCTCGGGGGTGGGGGAGGGGGAAACTGAAACTAACTGCTGATGGGTACAGAGGCTCTTTTTGAGGGTATGCAATGATCTGGAATTAGTGGTGGTGGTTGCAGAACATAGTGAATATGCTAAAAACCACTCAAGCGTGCACTTTAAAATGTTGAGTGTTATGTTATAGGAAGTATATCT